CAATCATGCATTTATCAATCAATTAAGAAGTAAATGAATCAACAAACTAAGAAATGCTAAGATTAACATTCGAATGTAATATGAAACTAATAATACAAATAACAAAATAAAGATGATGATGTTAAAGATGAAACTGATGACGATGATGATGAGGAAGAAAGGCCTGACATGCATGACCCAATGGATATAATAAATTTCTCTATGTAGCAAAACATTTGGCAGGTTGTATTGTATACAAAACAGAACAGAACAGAAAGCAAGCATACATTGATGTCTATTTATGATGTATAGAAAAGAAAACAAAAAATTAACTATTACAAATCTAGGCAATGGAATAATTAAATGAATACATACTCCTTGCCATACTGGGGTGGCTTATTTGGAATCTTGAAGGGAGGAAAAAAAACGAAATTTAATCCCATGAATATTTGCAATATCATCATCTATGTCATCATCATTACATCATCTATGTCATCATCATTACATCATCATTGTTGTTGTTGCTTATATAGTTAGTCATCATAGATGTCCATAGTTTATATATATATATAGTCATCATCATAACATGATAATGTCACCATTATAGTCAACACCAACATTTGGCAATTTTATTATAATTATCTAAAAATAAACCACATCCTCAATCATTAATATTAACATCATCATCATCTACAACATGATATCCTAATCATATTTGCTAGATTAGATACATGCATATCAGTATGTTACAATAGAGAAAGCCATATAATTATATATATATATAAAATTATATATATATAATTATTTATATATTGATATACCTAATATTTTACCACTATTTTTAGATTAATAGAACATATTATACCTTTCTTCATTAACTTTGCATATGATTCATTATTTAATTTGCCTTTCATAAGCTATGCCTCTGGTAAATAAAAGGAGACTGTCTAACCTTATATATTAATAGAGAATGCTAATTAAAGTGAAAATAATAGGAAGAAATACATACAAAAATGTTATACATAGAGAGAAAAAGAACACACACACACACACACACACACACACACACACACACACACACAGATATATATACTTATTAATGCAATTAAATTGAATTAAATTCACCACAATTAAAATATATGATTAAGTTTATTATTGTTATTTTAAATAAGGGCATCACAGCATGAATATGTGCAATGACTATAGCGATATGATGGTTGATAATATTGAAAATATAATACTAGCCCATTAAATCACCTTATCAACAAACTGATAAAGCCATACAGCAGAAACAAATGATTAGGCTTTGTAATATGTGTAAATACCTGTTACACATGCACACATACACAAATACATACATACACAAATACTTTTACACATATAATTTCAGTATATTTATAAAATATATACATAAACATTCCATTCAAAATATCATTATCCCAAAATCTTTTACTATTTATTTAACAATTGTGTATGTACCTCTTTCTTAAAAATTAACTTTTTTAAATATTAACTAAAGAGGGATGTATAGCATATAATAGATTTAAATTACTTATTTGATTTATAACATCTCAATAATTTAATAAAAATATTTGAAAAATTAGTTTAAACCTATTTTAAAAACAGAATAAATGTGATTGATTTTGAACAAATGTTTGACTGAAAGTTCAAACAAGAAGAAAACTAACTAACATCATTTTGACACAATACTCTTTTTGGCTTTGGAGCTTGCTGTTGCAGATGGTACACTGTATAATATTTGTATGTAGTATGTACTATTGTACATTTACGTTTGTATTAACTGTATGCATATGTATGTGTATGTATCATTATGTTAGTATGTCTTATGTTAAATATACAATGTATTTATTATACATGATTGTATGCATGTGTGTGCAGATTGTACACACATATAGATAACTAATATAGATAACACCACAAGACATATAGTCCACATATTCAACTTCATAACATAAGTACAACTTGAAATATATTCTTATCGTATCAGTACTGATGTGTATGTGACAATGTGTATCGTGTAAAAAATGCAGATCTCCCCAAGTTAATAAGTGAACCACTACAATAAATATTTCAAAATTTATAAAATTATAAAAGGTTACTCTCTCTCTTTAGCACTTGTTTCAGAGGTTTCAACAACAAATACACGGAGCGTATATTATACTTTATACACGCGAAAACTATGTATCATACACATTGCATATGATAGGCAAGGGATCTCTTTGTATTCAAAACCCAGTCACTGCATCAGCAAGATCAGACGCCTTTAACCATTGAGCCATCACGCCGCCCTGCAAATATTATAGTAATATTTCTATATAGTATATTTATTATTTTTGCCACTAACAGTAAGACTTCCACATAGGCATTTGTGCAATATCATCATCTGAAACAATGGAACATTGAATAAAAATATTTATTGATTTATTGATACAATATATTAATTATTTAATTTTTTGTTTAATTTCTAATCAAGATTGATTGTAAACGGATTGATGAAAAAAATTTTTCAGAAAAATCAAAAATGAAATGAACACAGCCTCAGCACAACACAAACAAACCAAACCTGTTCTTTCCATTTTTATGATCGTTAGACGTTAGAAACTTGCAAATGTTAAACGTAGACTAAAAATATAAAGTTTTTTAAAATCTTAATATTTCATAAAATTTAAATTCAATTTAATTCAAGACTCTTTAAAATAATGAATTTTATTAACGAAGATCCAGCACCCATTAAGAAATATTCATGATGAATTACCAAAAAAATTAAATAGTCAACACCACATATCATTGGTTACACTAAGCCTAGCACACATAACTAAAATAAATATAACGGCCTTCGCTCACTTTTAACGGTCGAACAAGGAGCTTACTTCTGGAAAAGATTTGGAGGGTGATTTATAATCGTTCGAGTCAAGGGTCGGGCTATTTGACATGCTTGGATTATTGGCTTACAAAATTGCATGGATTTTAACGAGCAAGCTATGTGAAATATTTACTTGACTTAATATGCTTAAAACATTAGTAATTCTCTTCAATTTTATTAAATAAAATTATGATTTTATTAAATAAAATTATGTATTATTAAATTATTGTTGTTAATTTGAATATAAAAATTATACTTTTGGTCCTGTGAAATCCGGCGGCTTTTTACTGAAGCCGAAGGTTGGCTTAGTAGGATTGAACTAAAGTCACCCTTTTTTACACTATACGATCATGTTAAAAATTTGTTTACTCATGAAATAAACGACCTAAATAGATCAAAATTGTTATTTGAACAACTATCTTCATTATATTCATTATATACATTCTGCTGGTGCTCATAAAAATTATGGTTGCTGAAATCATACGTTGGCTTACTGCAGTGGCTTACTGGGTCTCATACAACAGTGTCATGGCGGTTTTCTTTACATATAATGCTTTAAATAAGTCAATATATTCATTTCACAATTATTTTTGTCAATATAAATAAAGAAATTGCTTTTGTCTGGTAAAATACAGTGGCCAAGTAAAGCCGTATGTTGGCTTAATCGGATTTTTTTTTCATATATACCAGGAGTGGGCAAACTTTTTGCTGTGAGGGCCGCATTGAGAACAATTTTATTTTTGAAGGGCCGCATATGTACTTAAATAGCAAATTTTTTCGACCCGGGGAGAATTTTTTAAGATTTGTGGCTCCTTTTTTTGGTCATAATGTCTGGTTGACGACCTTTTATTAAGCGAGCAAGGTCACGCGGGCGGGCCACATAAAATAGCTTTGCGGGCCGCATGTGGCCCGCGGGCCGTAGTTTGCCCACCCCTGATATATACAATACTATGAGATCAATCAATCAACCAATCAATCAACCAACCAACCATTCATTCAATCAACTAATCAACCAATCAATCGACCAATCAATGAACCATATTTGAA